TCCTCTGTATAACTCCAACATTGCACAGATGCCCTATGACCTGCCAGTCATGCTGGTGCGACCACCATTACAGGTATTCTAACCCAACCATTAGTAACAGTTGCCATAATACGAATATTGCATAGGTGATTATCCAAATTTTTGTCATCGATGGGATTTAAACACCCAACCTACCACTTGGGAGGTTGACAACCTGACCACTTCACTAGGTCACCACACCCCTACCTGGTTACTATGCAGGAAAAACAAGACCAAAATTATATAATAAATATATAGTAAATGCTTTCTAAAAAAGTTACTAATCTAAAATTAATAATGTTTTTATTTAGATGACAGTTGTGACTTCAACTTATTTAACAATTAATAATAAAGTTTTGGATTCAAATAAATGTACTTTAAAAGTCTTTTTAGTAAAAATTCTACAAGAAACGTCAACTGAAATTAAAGATACTAAAAATTCTATTATTGAAACTCTCATATATAATTATATTAGCCAACCTATTAATTATTCAACCAAAGTGATTTTTTTACACACAAATCCATGATTAAAACATCTTACAACTACTATTTGTCACAAGAATCAATAATCTTTGTAATTGGGCAATTGGAAATTATGATAAAGAACTTTATATTTATACCAATGATATTAGTTATATTAACACTAATTCTATTACTAAAAAAAAAGAAATTGATTCGAATAATACTAAAATACTACTTTTAAACAATTCAACATAATCAAACTTTTGCTTCTTCATCAAAGTATAGTTAAAAATATCTCAAAAGTCAATTCTTCTCAATTAGCTTTAGATGATCTTGATGACTAATCAAATAATAATAGACAATTATCAAAACAAAAAATATCTGAAAAAACTGATGATATACTTCAAAATTTGTTACAAACAGAAAAAAATAACTATGTTAATGCTTGTACTGAAACAGAATTGAATGCAGAAGTAAATCAAGAAGAAAAGTTTACTGAAACTAATAATACAATCCAAAAAAATATTATATGCAGTCACAAAAGAAATAAACAAACTATAATCTGAGTTACAAGAAGTAATAAAGAATCGTATAATGATAATATCCCAACAACTCATAATAATTCAATTACAAATATCTCAACAAATTTTGAAAATGAATAAATACAAATCATTTTAACTTATCTATAAATATTTTTTTTACCTGTTTATTTATTATTAAAATATAACTTATAAGTTTTGTTTTACACTTTTATATGTTATACATTAATTTTTATACCCTGTATATATTTTTTTATGATATATTTAGTATATAATTAAAAACATATATATACTAAATTATATATATATAAATTATTTTATTGTAAATCACAATACTTAAGATTGATATATCTAATAATTATCATATAAAAAATGAGAACATCAAAAAAAAAGGAACTCCTTAACAAAAAAAAGATAACCAACCTCTTATCAAAAAAAAAAGACTCATTTGATTAATTTATTATTATATTAATAAAATAAATACATATAAACTTTTCTCTCTTATTTCTATTTTAACTTGATTATAATAAGTTCACTGTATAGTATTTAATCTCTAATGTTAATATTGCATTTAACAAAAAAACTACATCAAATTACAAATCTCATAAAAAGCTAAATTAAGAAATATACTTTCGAATATAACTAATTAACTATACTTGATATTGGTATTACAATACTACATATTTGATTCATACTAATTAACAGATCAAAAATATAGCTAAGTTAGACATGTTATAAGCAATTCAGTTAGAATCTTAACAGCAGCCATCAAACCTAATTAAGCATGCTAATAAACTGATACCACATGAATGAACATGTAAACCATATAAGTGTAATTTAATTAACTGCTTAATTTAGTCAAATGAAGTAATTGCTGAGAATAACTTCATTGTTAAGTAAATGCATAAGAATGACATATTACACCAAATCACCAACTAGCATCTGGTATCCACAAGAGACCAATTCATACTCAACCCTTTATGTTCACATAAATCAAGTAGATCTATCTAAAATTTTGTTATTTTGTAACTAATAACTTTATATCAAAGTCTTACTAATTTAAATTATTTTATGCTATACATGTATATTTATCTACCAACTATACAAGCACTTAAATTCAAATATAATCTGACTACTAATTAGACAAGCACTCAAATTATACTATACATTTCACATAATCAAAATAAATCCAAATATTAATGTTAATTCATGATTTTTCTTCTAATTAATTAAAAACAATAAATATGTAATATTAAATTTATTAATAAAAAATGATCAAAGAACAAACAGTTAATAAATATCAGTGAAAAAACACAAACTCTTGCATCAAAAGCACAACAAAAAAGAAGAATTCAAGAATGTACCAAATCAAACCTTTTATTAATATCACAGTTTCATAATGTTCTACTTGCTTCTAATTTATTATAACATATTAATAATCAACATTTTCTTAGTCATATAAATATTGAATATATTCATTGTAAAGCACTACATTGGATTGATGAATGTATATCTTCTTTCTCTAAACACAATCTGAAGTTCAGTACATGTTGTTCACATGGTAAAGTAATTTTACCATATCTTCAAATTCTACCACATCCTCTAAATAACTTTTTCAAGCCCAAGATAAGCATTTAAAAAAAATCTGATGTAATTTTCAGCAGTACAATTCAGCCTATTCATTTACTTCACTAGGTATAAACATTGATTAATTGGTTCTTAATAGTCATGAACCATACAGTTTTCATATCAATAGTTTATTATATCATTGTACGGGAACTCTTCTTTCTAATCAAAATGCTGAAGCAACATATGCACAATTATATATTTATAATTCTGATACTGCTCATAATCTCAAAATGAAATGAAATAAAAATTTATTATTACAAACTATGTCAGAATTACAAGAACTTCTATGTAACTATCACATATTTTATCCTTTGTATTTACAAGCCTATAAAATACTATTGCAAGCTTATCAAAATAATACAAGTAACTCAGATTTAAAAGTTTATCTTCACTTTAATATTTTAACAGACAAACATCAATATAATATACTTACATCAAATGAAATTGCAATTATTTTACCTAGAAATGGGTCATTATCTAAATTAGCATATAATATTATTCTTCATCTTAGAGAAGGTTCACTTCAACAAATTTATAAAAAACACTCTGCATATTTACTCTTCATTATGTATTATTTTTCTTAATGAAAACTTAGATAGCATTATGAACTATGTCATACACAAATAAATTTACAAGTAAACCAAAAAAGTTTACATTGACTTACTCAAGTAGATTATTATTTCTTTCATATATTTCTACAAAAAAATAAATTTTCTACAATTCTTCATAGTGGTAAATTATTTCAAGAGTTTGTAATTGATGTGTAGGCTACAACTGAACAAAAAAGACTAAGATACCTATATAAAACCAAGATAAACTATATTCAAATGTCTATCAAAGTATTGCTGATATAATTAAAGAAAATACAAATAACAAAATATCTACTAACAACCTTGGATGTTGAATAATTTTACCTTCAACACATATTAGAAGTGCTTGCCAAATGTTTGAATTATTTCAAGACTCTATGACAATTACAAATTCTATAGCCAACTTGATATATTTGAAACAATGACAACAAACCCAAACTGGCCAGAAATAACAAATGAATTATTTTTAGTTCAAAAATCTGCAGATTGTCCAGATTTAGTTGCACATGTATTTGAGTTAAAAGATCATGCACTTCTTTATAATATTAAAAATAATAGTATTTTTGATAAAACTGTTGCATATGTCTATACAATTAAATTTTAAAAACATGAACTCCTATATATGCATTTTTTAATATTTCTAAATAATAAAATAAAAGAACCTACTAATATTGACCATATAGTAAGTGCATAATTTTTAGATAAAAAAACTGATTCAGAACTATTTGATACTATTTCAAGATGTATGATTCATGGTTCCTGTAGCCTTTATAATCTACATTCTCCATGTATAATAAATAGTAAATATGAAAAAAATTACTCTAAATTATTTCATGAAAAAACTTCAATAGATACAGATGGTTACTCTTCATATGCAAAAAAGAATGATACTCAAACATTTGAAATTTTTGGCCAAATTGTAGATAACAGAAATATTGGTCATCTTATTAAGCATGATACACTAACTTGATATATTTGATTTAAAATATAATTACACAAATTTTTACATATTAATTTGCAATTAAATAAATATATTTAATATTTGAAGATATATAGAATATATTTATAAAAAAAAATT